GCTCGAGGCATACAACTTTAAAGTTGTTCTAAATCGACTTTGTAGTCGTCTTCCCAACCTGTTGTTTTTCTTTAAAAAAGTTTAAGTGTGCGGATAAGCGCAATAAAATGTAAAAAGACAATCCAATCATCAAACATAACATTCATTTCATTACTGAATTTAATTCGAACGTTTTTCAGTACAAAAAGAGGCTTGAGACTCAGCCTTTAGGCGTAAAAGCGTTTAAGATGGGTCACATGCCAAGATCGAGGCAATTGGCGACCTTCCCCGTCCTCTAGCTCGTATGCTCCTCTCTCGAGAACTTTTGTGACTGTGTAAGGCCCTTCCCAGTTGGCCTCTAGTTTCCCGACATGTTTGAGGGCGTCTGCACGCTTGAGGACGAGATCCCCTTCTTGGAATCGTCTGGTTCGGACTTTCTTGTCGAATGCTGCGCGCATCTTTTGCTTGTATTCAACTGTTCGCAGCCATGACTCTTCTCGTTCTTCTTCAATCAAATCGAGGGCTTCTTTGGCCAGTTCCTCGTTCTTTTCCTGTTCAAAAAATGTCGACTTGTGCGAACTTAGTGAGATTTCTACTGGCAGGAGGGCATCCATTCCATACACCATACTGAATGGTGATTGGCCTGTCGAGCATCTTGGCGTAGTCCGGTATGACCATAAAACGGTGGTTAGCTCATCGATCCAAGCTCCCGATGCCTTCTCTAATCGCTTCTTTAGCCCCTGCAGGATGGTTCTATTTGTAACCTCGACTTGCCCGTTGGCTTGGGGGTGAGCGACTGAAGCAAACCTCTGCTTGATTCCCATTTCAAGGCACCATGCTTGGATTCGCTTGCCCTGAAACTGAGTTCTATTATCTGAAATTAATATCTTCGGGATCCCGAATCGACAGCAGATGTTGTTGAATAGGAACTGGATCATTCTCTCCTCAGTAATTTTTGCTAGCAGTTCTGCTTCGACCCATTTGCTGAAGTAGTCGACTGCGACTACCAGGAATTTTGTTTGCCCGGTCCCCATCGGCAAAGGTCCCACCAAGTCGATTCCCCATTGAGAAAAGGGGATCGGGCAGCTGATTGTCGTCATAGTTTCAGCGGGGGTATGAGGGATCGGGCCGTGATGCTGGCATCTTTCGCACTCTTGTACTAACTGCTCGACCATTCTCCTGATTTTTGGCCAATAATAGTCGGCGCGCAGCACTTTTCCAGCTAAAGCCCGAGATCCGATGTGAGCCCCACATTATCCTTCATGAATTTCCCGCAAAACATAATTTCCTTCGTCTTCAGAAATGCATCTTAAATGGGGTCCGATATATGACCTCTTGTATAACACTCCCTCAATTTCGAAATACTTAGTTAGGTATCTATCGACCCTTTCGGCTTCCTGTTTATCCCCGGTAGGTATTTTTATTTGCAAAAGTTCTCGAATCGTCATCCTCCAATCCTCTCTCTCTTCGACTTCCATAGCTTCGCCCAACACGCTTCCCTCTAGATGCATGGTGGTGATAGAGTTTCCCATCCTCCCATCATTCGAGCTCGCGATTCTCGCGAGCCAATCTGCGCGTTTATTTTCCTCTCGAGGGATTTGCGTTAGTTCAAATTTCTCCAGGCCCTGCACAAGACTTTGGATTTCTTCGACATATTTCATCATTCATTCTTCTTTGATCTCGCAACTTCCCAACACTTGTCCAACAACTAGTTGTGAGTCGGAATGTGCCACAATTTCTGACGCTCCTCCACCAATTGCGAGTTGAATTCCTTTGATTAACGCCTCGTATTCTGCTTCGTTATTTGAGGCCTTAAATCCCATTCTAATAGCAAAGTCCAGTTGCTCGCCCTCGGGTGATACGAGGACGATTCCCAGACCGAACCCTTTGGCCGCTAAAGACCCATCAACGTGCATGATCCATTTCTTTTCTTCTCCCTTGGTACCTTCTTGGATGAAATCTGCCAGGGCTTGAGCTTTTATGGCTCGCCTCGGCTCATACTTAGGGGAATATTCGCTCAGCTCGACTGCCCATTTAACGAGTCGGCCTGATACCGTAGGTCGGCCTAATGTTTCACCCAGCTGGAAGTTCGTCCTGACTACTACCACATGATTCAGAAAATATGGCCTTAGTTTTCTAGCCGTTATCACCAGCGTTAAAGCGGCTTTCTCAATCTCAGAATATCTTGTCTCTGCGCCCTGAAGAACTCGATTGGTGTAATAAATTGGCTGTTGGACACCTCCTTCTTCTCGCAATAACACTGAACTTAGTGATACCGAACCCACAGATATATAAAGCACCAGCTCGTCGCCGGGCTCTGGCTTTGTCAGCAGAGGCAACTCGCCCAAGAATTCCTTCAACTTTTCGAAGGCCATTTGTGCTTCGTCACTCCATGAGAAGGTCGACCTATTTTTGAGTAATCTGAAGAACGGGAAGCTTTTTTCTGCGGCTCGAGCGATGAACCTGCTCAGCCCCGCAATTCGTCCCGTCAGAACTTGCACATCTCTTATATTTCTTGGTGGAGCCATGTCGAGTATGGCTTTCACTTTCTCCTGATTTACTTCGATTCCTCGCTCTGTGACAATATACCCCAAGAATCGTCCGACTTTTACTCCAAAGGCACATTTGTTTGGGTTCAGCTTCATCCCGAACGCCCTGAGGGTTGTGAACGTTTCCCTCAAATTGTCTGGGTGTGAGGTTGAAGCCTTACTCTTTACCAAGATATCGTCCACATATACCTCGATATTTCGCCCAATCTGAGATTTAAAAATTCGATCCATCAACCGTTGGTAGGTTGCTCCAGCATTCTTAAGCCTAAAGGGCATGACGACATAACAGTATGTCCCTTTACTCGTCACGAAACTCACCTTACTCTGATCTTCCGGGAACAATGGAATCTGATGGTATCCCTGAGATGCATCCATCATGCTTAGTAATTCGCAACCAGCCGTAGAGTCGATGAGCTGATCGATTCGTGGTAAGGGATAATGATCTTTTGGGCAGGCCAAGTTCAAGTCCCGAAAGTCGATGCACATGCGCCATTTATTTAACGCCTTTCTTACCATCACGGTGTTGGATATACACTCAGGAAATTGGATCTCTTTGACGTGTCCTGCTCGCAACAACTTATCTACCTCGATTTCAATTGCTTTGTCGATTTCCTCACCATGGCGTCTGAGTCGTTGCTTTACTGGCTTTCTGAGGGGGTCGACGTTGAGCTTATGCTCCATAATAGCGGGGTCGATCCCCGTAAACTCCTCAGAGGTGAAGGCGAAGACATCCCTGAACTCCTTTAGTAGTGTGATGAGTTGGTTTCGCAGCTTGTCTTTTAGATCTTTCCCGACCTTGGTGGTCTGTTCCTTCGTTTCTCCGATTTGTATCTCCATTAGCTCCTCGTGTGGTTTCAGATCACTATTTCTTGGCCTTTTCTTGCTCATTGCCGGCTTCTTTCCCTCAACTTCTGTTTGTTGGTTTGTTTTCACAGCTATCTGGTAACAAGTTCTTGATAGCTTCTGGTCTTCTCGGGCCTCCCCTACTTTATTTCCGACGGGGAACTTCAGCTTCATGTGGTAGGTCGACACTACCGCCTGGAATGCGTTGAGCGCTGGCCTTCCTAGAATCACATTATAAGCCGATTCGACGTCGACTACAACAAACCGCACCACTTTTACTTTCCTCAAATCTCCTTCCCCGAGGACGACAGCGAGTGTGGTTTCTCCTAGGGGTGCGACTTCTGAGCCATTAAATCCAAAAAGTGAGGTGTGCAGGGGTGCAAGCTCGATGTCAAGTTCCATCCGTTTAAGGCAGTTGTAAAAGATCACATTCACTGAGCTTCCCGTGTCGACAAAAATCCTCTGCACTTCATAACCTGATATTTGAGCAGTGATCATTAGAGCGTCATTGTTAGGTCTCTCGACCTCCCCCACATCTGCTGGCCCAAAATTCATCACTGGACCGTTTTCCTCAACTTGTTGCACTTCAATTTTTCCGTGGCAGCCTCGAGCATATGCCTTTCTGGCCCGATTTGAGTCTCCATTAGTCGGCCCTCCAAATATCATATGAATTATTCCTCTTTTCTGAGGGAACTCCTCCTTGTCGGGTGTCCTCGCTCTCTTGCAAGGACTCTTGCTTCTCTCCCTTCTCCGATTGGTTCGATCTCGATCTTTATAAACGAACTCCTTTAGATGGCCTGCTTTGATTAGCCTTTCGATCTCATTCTTCAGGTGCCGACATTCCTCGGTATTATGCCCATAATCCTTGTGGAATCGACAATACAGATCACTTTTGGGCTTTGTTGGTCCATCTTTTCTCGTCCGCTGCCACCTGACTACATTTTCGTGAATTTCTTTCTCCATTACCTCCAATATCCTTGCGCTCGAGGCTATCAGGGGGTATACTGAGCTGTCCTCCATCCCTTTGATCGCCCCTCCCTTTCTGACTTCGGGGATCCTTTCTTTTCTTCCGTCGCAGTTGGTTTCTTATCCTTCTTCTCATCCCGAGACTCAATTTTTGTTTTAGCTGCTTGCAAAAAGTCAGCTTCAGCTTCCTCGACATTCATGTACTTTGCGCACCTTCTTAATACTTCATCAAACGTTCTCCCGGGTCATTTTGCTAAGGAGTTCCTGCACAATCCCAGGAGTAATCCTCGAGTGAGTCCTCCCGACTTGATTTCCTCAGTCGCTGAGGGGACATCGACGCATGCTCGCGTGTATCTTGCTACGTAATCCCTCAATGACTCTCCTTCTTTCTGTTGCATGCCTATCAGGGTAAGGTAAGACTTTTCTTGGGCCTTTACACTTGCAAATTGATTTAGGAAACTCGAACTAAATCCGTCAAAGTCCCTGACGGCTCCTAGGGGTAATTGATGAAACCAGTCTTGCGCAGGCCCTCACAGAGTTGTCAGGAACGCTCGACATTGAACGGGATCATTGTAGCGGTGCAGTACTACCATGTTTTCGAAACTCCTCAGATGTCGAGAGGGGTCAGTCGACCCATCTTACCAGATGTTAAGTTCCCTGAACCCCTGAGGCAGGTCAGCGTCTAGAATATGCTGTGAAAAAGGGTGTCCCCTCGAGCTTCCTGTTTTTCTCCCCTCTACTCTAGCCTGCAAATCTCGCACCTGTGCTAACAACTGCTCCAGGGTGTCGTTCCTCACCTGTGGATTGATAGTCCTGACAGAGGAATCCTCTTCATCGGCTCTCCTATTATGCCTCTCCTGCGACTGCGCTTGCTGTCCGCGCTCCGGGGGTGGTTGTTCATTTTGGGGCTGCTCGACCCTTGCTTGTTCGATCCTGGGCCGCTCGACCCTTGCTTGTTCGACTTGCGTTTGTTTGAGTTGGGCCACTACTGCCTCCGCGATCATTCTCTGCATCTCGCTTCTCGTCATAGTCAGTGTTTGTTCCTCGGCTTGGGGCGGCGGCCTCCCTTCATGTTCGAGCGGTCCAGGTTTTTTCGCCAGGCTTAGGGTCGTCTCGGTTGACTCACGGCCATTGACTTCTCCGCTGGTGTTTTTCATGTGGCTGGTCTCCCCTTGGGTAAGCACAGGGATCTTGACTCCAGGTGGGGTAATAGGCGTTTCTTCTCCCGCACGTCCTCCCGCCGGCGCGTGCATCCCGAACGGTGGAAATCCCAGCACCTGGAGTGGGGGTCTAGGGCAGGGGATCGTCGGTGGCCGCTTATCTGTCCATGCTCCCCTGAAATCTTCATGTAAGTTTCTCTGCAGTCCTTCCTTCTCGGCCATCTGGAACAGATCAGAACTAGGTAAAGAGCTCTTACTTCCTTCAAGAACTCCCCACAGACGGCGCCAAAATGATGGGTCTCCTCTCAGATCTGGAATGAACCGGTGAAAAATCGCTCAGATCTGGAATGAACCGATGGGAATGAGCTCAGATCTGACTCGATAGCCTCCAAACCGTTGCGGAACCGTGAGAACACCTGCAAGAACTCGACGCCGGAGGGGTTTCCGGCGTAGAGCCTCCGACGCTCAAGTCAGTATGTGAAAGAGATGAAGAGAGCTGCTCTGAGAGCAGTAGCAGTAATGGGAAAGAATGTGGAATGAATGGGAGTTAGGGTTTTGGAGTTACCTCAGCTCCTTTATATAGAAGTAAAACATTTACCTGAAGTCCCCAAAACGCCCTGGCCGACTTACTGGAAATGTCCAAAATACCCTGGTTGGTTCGCATTCCGTAAACTTCCTAGTCAGCATCTAGATTCTTCCTTATCTCTGGTAGCTTCCTTCTTATCCTCAACAACTGTCCTCCGATATGTTGAAGTGCACTGGAGTCGTCGAGATCTTATGAGCTTCAAGACCTCCTCAGTCGACTCGGGATATCGACTCGAGTCGACTGGGCCATATTCAATTGTCAGTAGATCCTCACGCGTTTGACCGTCTTCCAAGAGGAAATCCACTTATGCCAGTCGGCATGCGGAAGTCGACTGGGCGAAATGCCTGGACCCTCGACGGGATACCCTTAAAGAATCTGCGGTCAGAGTCGATTTTGCGTAAGTCGACTCGGTAATCTCTGAACCACAATGCTATTGAACCGTTATACGATAGTATGGCTATATCATATCGATAAACTCCCCATGAACTAACTTATCCTAACAGAATAGGGAAATGATTATTTTGGTTCGATGATGATGACGAATTGTTAATTTTTCATATCGTTTCGAGTTATACTTATTTTTATGATTTAGTCGATTAAACACCTTCTAAATCTAATTAATTAATTTTAAAACCGAGAGGGGAGAAGTTGATTGACCTCGGCTCGAAACGGGTAAGCTTGTTCGTAACTGTATTGCTTACGAGTTATTTTGTTCGAAAATATATTATTTTAGTTATGTATCGAATAACATAACCGAATAATCAATGATTCAGAATTATCGTTAGAACTGAAAATAATTATTTCCCGATTCCCTAACTCTTTTAACATCCTTAACTTTATATCTAACTTTTAATATTAAAAAAAAAAAGCCATATGATAATTGATTAGAATGTTTAGGATTTATTTTTCTTTTATGTGATAGTAATACTAATTATAAATTCCGAACAGTCTTCCTCGAGAGATCGACCCGGGAAACTAATCTTTTGATTTGTTACTCGGTAAAAATAAAAATAATTTGCTACAACAAATTTGGCGCCGTTACCGAGGAATGCAAGTAGGATATTTAGTTTTGATATTAATTTTATTTTTGTGTTTCNNNGGATATTTAGTTTTGGTATTAATTTTATTTTTTTGTGTTTCTCTTGATTTTTATAAAAAAAATAAAAAATAAAAAAAATAAAAATTATTATTATTTTGTGTATTTTTTTTTCTCTTGCTTTTGGTGTTTGTGTTTTTGTAAATATTGTAACTTGTATTTTTTATTGTTTTTCTTTTGATTAAAAAAAATATATTATTATTATTACTATTATNNNNAAAAAAAAAATTAGAGAAGCTTCCATGCACCCGTACAATTATTCCTATGCTGGAGGCTCGTCTCGTGAATACCTTAACAATTACCAAGAGGGGATGTATAGACAATACGCAGAGCTACCTTCTTCGTATCCAAACTATTCAAATTCTTATACTTATGACGGATACTATACATCCTGTGTAGATGACCGTGGATATTCACACCAAACACATAGAGCCGATTATGGTTCGGGACATGACTATACACCTTATTATAATCCTTTATCTTTGAATTACAATTATCCTCCGTTTCAGGATTATAATAATTACATAAATTCACCTGAGCCACCTCAGGAAGTTTCGTCAAGCCGAATATACGAGATTATGGCGAAATTGGAGGAGTGCAACCAATCCCTCCTGGCTTCCATGGCCTCTATGCCAAAAAAAGATGAGACCGAGTTCCTTTCTTCATCTTTTACAACATCCGATTATCACCAAGAGGTCTTGACGAGCACACAAGAGGCACTTGCTAGCCTTGCGTCGATCATTGAGGAGTTTCAAAACTTGAGGTGTATTCCTATTCCATCATTTATTCAAACTACTCTTACAAGGTTAGACTCCAATGAGGTATCCTTTCTCGACTTGGACGCATCTTATATCCCGCTCGATAGATATTCCTTTTTATCTATGGAGATTATTCGACAAAGCACTGGGTTGGAGCAAGAATTTTGAACTATGGTGGATCAAATTACCTCTTTGAGAGAGAATGGCCTCACTCTTGTATATGATGGAACACAAATTCTTGAGAAGAGTGAGGACATTTATGAGCTGGTTATTAAAGAAATTTCTTCTCTTGACGAACCGGACTTGAATTGTACAAAAGGTACGTCAAATTTTTCTTTGGGTGATAGTGCTATGTATTCTAATTTTATTGTTGAGGATGAGAATGTGGAGTCGATTGTGGATGTTGTAAATAGCATGGGTGACAATTCTTTTGAGGAGTTGGTTGTGTCTATCCATAAGTTGGTTAATTCTAACGAATTGGATAGTGCTTGGGAGAATGATTTTGAGGAGGAGAATAAAATTGTGGAAGGTATTGAGGAGAATGCTAAGTTGGTGTGTGATGTCATGTACCCGAAAAAAGAGTTTATTGATGACTTGACTCTTGAGGTTGGGTGTGACTTGGTTTCTATGCCAATCGGGTGTTCATTTCGTGTTATTGAGTATTGTGATCATTTTGAGGAGTTGGGTTTATTTATGCCCATGCTCCCGACTTTTGAGGTAGTTAATGTCACATCCGAGATAACATTTGTGATGACCGGGATTGATTCTATGTGTTCCACTGATATTTTTATATTCCCGGTGTTTGATTGTGTGGCAAAAGATTGTAATGATTTATTTCTTTTCTTGGTGATTGTTAAAAATTGTGTTCAATTTCAAAAGAACACAACCACGAGAATATATTTGGCACGCCTTTGTTCGGTTTTGCCAAAGCTGTTAATACTTGAGAATACAAAGGTGTGGCATGATCATCATCTTTTCTTGGACCCAGGATGATTTCATTCCAGGTTTAGTCAAGCTAATGACGTTAAACAAGCGCTTCTTGGGAGGCAACCCAAGTTATTTACTGCTTCTTATTTACTTTATTTTATGTTGTGTATTTTATTTATGTTGTTTGAATAATGGGAGTTTTGGAGTATTTGTGGTTTGTATAGGCAGGACATATCTATCAGGGGAAGGAGAGGGAGTGAAAAATTTACTCTCGAATACTTGTATTCTCGATGAAGTTTCGGTTTGCACATTTTTTCTCTTTTTAATTTTTAGTCTATTTATGTGATTTCGTGTTTTTCTTCATTTTAGTTTATATAGTTTGTTTCGTTTTTATTTTCTCGCATAAGTTTGTGTGTCAACGTGCTTTCTCCTATGCTTTTATTGGTTAAGCAATGAAGACATTGTTTTGTATTAAGTGTGGGGGAAAGGTATTGTATGATTATACAAGTTTAGGCGTAATTTCTTTTATTTTAAGTTTTAATTGTTTTTGTATTGTGTCGATTTCCCCATATGAGACTTGATGTGAGTTTAATAGCTACAAATGATTAAGTGGGTAGTTTGGATTATCGATTTTTTTCATTATTAACTCTCATGAATTATGTGGTCAATGATTTTAGTGGTTTTTATAAAATAAAATGATTATTTGTTGGCATTTGAACTCGCATGTAGATTTACGAAATTTTTTTATCCTTTGATCATTCTTGATTGATGACCTTGATCATAATTTCCTTATGCTCGATTATGTAAACGTGTTATGCTATACACATGGTGTACGTCGTAATTGATTTGTGATTGTATTTATGATGTACTTTTGTGTGCTATACCCTAAAAAAAATTATGAATAAAAATTAGTTCGTGGGAGTTGGATGGATTAGACTCCACTTGACTTGGTTAATATCTTTCGAGATATAAATCGAGTTAATGAGTACGGGAAACCGGCTTAGGAAACTTGGGGACACACCCCAAGGACATACCTAAGTAATAATTGTCTCGACAATTTCCATTTAGAAAAAGTGACTCATATAAAAAATAAAAATAAAAAAATGGAAAAATATTAATGGGGTTTGGTTTACGGTCTTGTTTTATATTTTTTAAACATTCAGTAGATCGGTTTGAATTTTTTGCACGTGATTATTGTAAAAGGAAGTGTGCATTGAGTAAATCATGATGGAATGACATAGGTTGAGTTTTTGTTTTGTTAAATTTATATGTGAGAACTATGTTTTCATATTTGAGTTTTATTTTGTAAATAACCGAATGATAATGAGAGTTACATAATGTATGTTTGTTAATATTGGACCGTTCGATCTCTCTTTTCGAATCACTTGTTATTTGTTTGCTTGAGGACAAGCAAAGAGTTAAGTGTGGAGGAGTTGTTTGAACTATTTTTGTTACGTTTTTCATTTTTATTTTAATATGTTTTTATCCTTATTTTGAGTCATTTGGTTAGTTTTAGAGTGGTTTTATAGTTATTT